TGGTCATCCTTCCCTTGTTGATGATGTCATACATCATGCTGACTGAAATGCTGGATAAAGCCTGCAGGCTTCAACATTCAAAAATCAAAACCTTTCTTTGAACAACAGATCTTTTGATACTTTTGTTCATAAGGACAACATTCTGTGAAGCAGTGGATTTAATCATGGTTCTTGAATAAAGCCCAAAATTGTAATCACCTACTAAGCTAAACCCAACCAAGCCAACTGCAGAATGATTTAAATGCATGTGGGAAATCAGCCAACCCAGGTGTGAATGTTTTGAGATCCAAATGGGGTTAAGAGCTATATATAAAATCCTTGAACTTCATAGAGAACAAAGAAATCTATCAATCTGTGCTTTGCAAAAACCACTCCCTGTAATAATAATAATAATATTTCTCACAACTGGTGTGCTGTAGCCTGTCATGAGATTTTCTTAATGGTGCTGAGTTGTGAAAAAAAAAAACTGGATTATGAAAAGGGCATAAACACCAGTCTTACGCAAATATTTTTTAAAACATGCTTACTCACACACATTGCTGCAACATAGGCTGAATTAGCGTTGGTTTATAGTGTTGAACCACTGTCATATTTTTAGTGCTCAAAATGTAAACAGTATATTAGACAATCACCAGTTGTTGGATATTTGAACAAGAGGTTGATAATGGTTAATCTGTACATCCTGAATTGCTAACAAAATTGGCAAGGATGAAATTGTGAATGTTTTAAGAGGTTTAAGGGAGGGCTCCACCATTGGCTGTTAGATCCATTTGCTTTGTTTAATGACTGTATAGAGTTAAACCCCTAATTTTTCCATGCATATCTTGTGCACCAGGACTGAAAAAGTATTCTTCTGAAACTGGGAAGCAATTAAGCCCTTGAGAATCACCAAAATTATCATAGATGGATTGGTGGTTTAAGAACCAGGTCTCAGAAAACTTTTTATTTAATTATTTGAACCATTTATATGGCCACCCATCTTGTGTGTCATCCAGAGCAGGTTGTAACCAAGAGGTAATATCACAGCTATGTAGAATAAAAATATTAAAATCCAATAATCTACCACCATAACTAAACTGAACTCACCCTATCCCAGTGGAATGGGACAACTTGCTGCAGTCAGCTCGCTGTGGCCAACTCGCCACGGTCAGTGGTGAATTGGCCACAGTGAGTTGCTGTGGCAAGTTGGCCGCAGTGAGTTGTCTGTGGCAAGTTGTCATAGACCTCTATCCCTGTGTTTGGAGGGAAAACAGGTCTTGAGTGCTACTTGGACGGTTAAAAGGAGGGGGCCTGCTGAATTTCAGGGGAAGGGCTTAAATAAATTTGTTGACATATATTGAGCCTTTCTTACTTCTACAACTTTTCTCAGCTTCTCTGATGGAATAACTATTACCAAGAAGAAGGTGGAATCAGGGTCATTTGATTGCTTGATGTATGAGTCCACATTGACTGTAAATTGCCTTTTAGTAACCCCAGGAAATAAGTCCTATGGAGAACAGTGTCCACTTGAGATCTTTGACAGTATGGAGAACACCAGGTAGTCTGGTTGGGGCAGACACCAAATGGGATAGGCTAGCTGTCATGACACCTGTTATATTCATGAAATAATCTTGATTACAATTTATATTGCTAAGTCAAGAACTTGAGAAATCCACAATGAAATCTCGAACGTTTTTTTTTAATGAGCTATTTCAAGTGACATATAAAGATGAATCAGAGAGCTCACCAAGTTCACTCCTATCAGGAATCTGGACTGGAAAAAAATACATCATGCTCTTTTGATAAATGAAATTCCATTACAAATATCTAGACAACTTTATCTCTAAGTTCAGCAGTGAAAGGAAGGAAGGCTTGATTCCCCTTGGCATGAATTGAGGCACTGCAATTTAATTAAAGGGGCATCTTTATTTCAATTTACATACAAGTATTCCAATCCCTTACAGTAGGGGTGTCAAACTCGCAACGTCACGTGATGTGTCGCGTTGTAGCGTGACCTTTTTTCCATTGCTCAGTCACCTGAGCAACTTTCTCCTCTTATATCAAGGGTGGGCAAATATGGTAATTTTACAACCTGTGGACTTCAACTCCCAGAATTCCATGCTAGCTCAGGAATTATGGGGGTTGAAGTTCACAGGTCGTAAAGTTGCCATAGTTGCCCTCCCCTGTCTTATATGAACCTTGAGGTCTTAAGGAGTAGCCACACCCACATATACACACAGACAAATGAAGCAACTGTGAAAACAATACACTATTTCATTCTTCCTTTTTCCCTACCAGCCAATCAGCATTTAATAACCAGTAAATAGAGCCAGATCGTGTAAATTCTTTTGAAACTCTGTGATAAATACTTGGCGTTTCTAAAATATTGAGACTTCCCCTGTTCCTATTGATATCTCACTTTTCTATATGGATGATGCATTGACTTGAAGTCACAACTGTTCAGTTTCACCACCTTACGTTCTGCACTGTCAAAACTCCCCTTACAAAGCAACTATTTTGATTTGCAAAGTTTATCTATAAGCCAGTTTCTGCCCTACGAAATATTAGGCTTATTACTTTCTTCCGCATTTCTTTTCTTGGGTGTGAAAGTTGTATCTGCAGTTTGATTTCTGGGTGCTGCCTTGAATGTTGACTTTCACCTGCTGTTGACTTTCTTCTTTGCATCCTTTTTGCCTTAAAACCCACCACCTGACCAACTTTTCCTGACATATAGGGGTTTTTTTTTCCAGCTTATTGTGTGAACGTATTCATTATGGCTTTGTCAGGGCCAGCTTATTATGACTTCTTCAACAAGCCTGATTTAAAAATTGTTGGTTTTATATTATACACCTGTGTCCCTGCTTCAGGAGCTCACAAAGCCTGATCCAGTTGCCCAAACCTTGCTTTCAGCATGAGTGTTGATCTACCGTAGGAGAGGTCTATTGTAGGAAAGTGTTCTTATGGGACAGGGGATGAAAGGGGAAAATAGAAAGCCAGGGAAAGTTAAGCAGATCCTGCCTGCTGATGATCATCTTTCTATTTCCATGAAAGCATCGAACAGCAGAATGGAGGGTTAAGAATTCTAAATGATAAATATTAAATGTTTAATTTAAATATCAACGCAAAATTAAAGCTGGAAAAATTCATAAGGTTATTGATAGTCCAAAAGATGGAATGTTAAAATTAATAAGACATATAAAATTATTGATAAATGTAAGAAAGCTATTAAGTAGCTGATGAATAGAATAAGAAGTATACTAATTTAAACAAGAGACAGTATGTATTAAGGGACAAAAGAGAGGAAATATTGGCTGTAATAGTTGGAGATTTGTATTAATAATATTTGTATGTAATGGAATTATTGTAACTCAGACACCACGTTGCTTTTCAAAGATATAATGGTAACATGGGAAAATTAATAAAAAGTTTTTTTAAAAAAAGAATTCTAGGTTGTGTTGGAATATGAAGTTCTGTCCTTAAAAGGATTGATAATCAAAGGTCTGAATACTAAGTGAGCTCATGTTCAAGCTTTAAAAAAAAAAAACAAGCTTTAAAAAAACCCCAAAACTTTTGCTTTATCTTTACAGCTCAACTATTTCATAAATGAAGCTTTCACTCTTTCTGCTATGTCATACTTTCTTTTAACTGACATTCCCACTGCGTGAGAAATAGTTGCTTAATCCTACAGACTGCAGATTGGAGTAAGGCATTTCTCCACAGATGTCATTAAAAGCTTTATTCTTTCTGGTAGGCTTATTGCTCTTGGGAACTTAGCATTTTCCAGGATCTTTGACAACGTTACAGCGTGGGACATTGTCTCTGTTTTAGTACAGAGAGAGAGAGAGAGAGAGAGAGAGAGAGAGAGAGAGAGAGAGAGAGAGAGAGAGAGAGAGAGAGAGAGAGATGACAATGGTGAAGTCAGTCCAGGCAAGAGTGGGACAAAGTTGACGTATTACAGGTCATGATCCCACTGGCAATTGGGTGGTATTTGTTCCTGCCATTCAGTGCCCTTGATTCCTTCCTAAGTGTCTCATAAAGCAGATAATACATGCTTTCGAGGTAGTTTACACAAGGAGGACTCCATAGTAAAATATCTCCCTTGGACTTGATTCCGGTTCAAGGATCTATATGGGCACCCCTAGATGCAAATTCCAATGGAAAGCATAGAAGATGTTTGGTTGCATTGTGTGTGCAACTATAGCAAAAATGAGATAATTCATAGGAAAGACAAGATTTTCTTGTTACAGAAGGGTGCTTTCAGATAAGACTATGTGATGCTCTTATCCTGCTTCTTTCTTGGGATATTATAGAGAGGATGGTTTCATTTGGAATCTAATAGTTGTGCAACACCTTTTGTTTAATAATTGCAGGAACTATAATCTAAGAACACTTGCAGAAAATGTTTGTTCTTCTTCTCTCTGTCCTTTGCCGTTATTTCCAGCCAAATTTCATTTATGTTTGGTACCCTAAAAGGTACTGTGGGGATTTGTGGGAAGATTCCCCTCTATAGCAAACTGCCTCCACATTTAACCCGCACTACAAAAATGTCAGGATGTAGCTTTTCTAATGGTGGAACTGATTATGAGTCATGGGACTGATACTGAAGATATTAAAATAAGAAAGAATTGATCAAGGGCATTCTAAATAGCCCCCACTTGCAAATAAATACATATAACCAAAGACAATCTTTCTTGTCTATTTGAACAAAGTTCTTTTTTAAAAACTTATTTTTAATAAGCCAAGAACCACTCTCTATAAATTTGGAGCAAATTGGTGAAAGGCTGAGAAGAATCCTGCAGATAGGGCAGCAAAAGTTTGCTGAGTTTATGTTGGCACTTAAGCAATACAGGAAGCATTTTTGTCTCTTCTTTGGCAGTGTTTTGATTATAAGTTAATCTCCTGAGATATTATGACTGCTTTAAATGGTTAATGGGTACCTTAACACGTGTCCAAAGGACAATCAGTCTCTGATCATATAAAATCTGTGCACAGGGAAGGAGAAATAGTCCAACCAGAGCATGCTGAGACTAAGAGCAAGGATGTCCAAGAAACTCTTCTCATTTGTCCGCTTTCTTGTGCTGTTACTTGGCTTTGTAACTATTTGTTTAGGAGCTTTTTGCATCTCTACAAGTGTCTCTGCCTGTAAGTGCAAGAGTTTGCCGCTGGCGTATTTTCTTCTGCCATTTGGATTCTTTCTTCTCATTGCTGGGATCTTCTGGAGCACCTATCATGAAGCCAGCAAGCACAACGGCTTGTTCCGCAGTATTATACATGGAAGTTCTAGACTTCACGAAAGTCACATCACGACTATAGATAGGTATGTGTTGACTGTTTCAGGCCATCAGCTGGCCCTGACGTATACTCCTTTTCCATTTTAATTCTCCACTCTGAATTTGCTTCATTTAAGTTCTTGTTTTTTTCCTCCTGGTAACGGCTCACTAATTATACATGCTATAAATACAGCTCTTTCTTAAATGGTACCCTGTCAAGTTAATTGTCTCATTATATGTGTTGCCTCAATTCTGGCTTCTTTTTGATAATATCAAGTAATTGTTTATTATTTTCCCCCAGTCGATCGTAAAGGGAATTCTCTTTACATATAGTTGTTCAACATCATATTTTAAATACCCTCAGTTTTCATTCATTCATTTACTTTTATCACATTTTACTGATTTGTGATGGCACAGTGGTTAGAATGCAGTATTACAGGCTAACTCTCCTGACTGCTAGGTGATGTTGGGCCAGACGCTTTCCTTCAGCCCTAGGAAGGAGGCAATGGCAAATCATTTCGGAAAATCTTGCCAAGTAGTTGCAGTTGCCAGAAGTGTACACTTGCTTAGTTTACCTCCTACTGAAAAATGGAACACATTATATACTTTACTGGTTGGTTTCCTACCTAACATTTAAGGTTTGGAGACTTGGATTAAATTAATTTTGTTAAGACCTACTGAAATAAACTAAGCCATTTTTAACTTAATTCCCATTGATTTAGGAGAATAGGTAACAGACTGAATCTAACTGAATAGGTAACAGTCTGAATCTAACCGAATAGGCTCTGCAACTTTTCTCCTGTCTATCAATAGCATTTTTATTCCCTTGTTTCCCTCATTATCTCTTCCTTTTTCTATATTATAATTCATATTTTAAATCTCTACTCTTCCCTCTATGGCTAATCAGATGATACTACAGCTATCATACTCAGTTTTCTTCCACCTTAAAATTCTCTAGATTTGTCAGTGCCATGATACAACCCATCTAGAGAGAACTAGATTAAGAATGGACAATTTATTCTGCTTTCTTTATATTTCCTAAAACTAACCTGATCCTTACTTAACTGCTTACTGGACTTTATTGACCATTCTAGGTCACATTCAATGGTCTATCATGCAAGAATTCAATTTAGTGCTAGATGTGGAGGCAGCAAAACTAAATTCTCTTTCCTGTTTAGCCACTAGACGAGGGCTTAGACCTGTTTCTCAACCTTGGCAACGTTAGGCTGTCTGGATTTCAACTCCCAGAATTCCCCAGCCAGAATTCTGGGAGTTGAAGTTCACACATCCTAAAGCTGCCAAGGTTGAGAAACATTGACATAGATTATTCTTTGTAGTAGTTTTGAGCATGTTCAGTTATACATTTTTTAAGGACGAGCAGCATAACAATGCTTAGCTTCACACTTTCTAAAGCAGGTAATGTGTATCTTTGTCCAGGTTTCTGTGGTGTTGCTTGAAGTCATATAGGAAATGTGCACTGTCACAAACTGGTCACTATCTTGAGAACTCATAACAAGTCTTGGATATTATACATTCTGAATTCAAACCAGAGCCTTTAAGAACGGCATGCCTCAGTCCTATAAGTATTTATGGCTCTACAATATTTTTCAAAATGTCAAGAACACATTCTTCTTTAAAATCAGCTGATAGTTTCAGCCATGTTCAGTATGTGTTGAAGTGGCGTGCAGTTGCCTGGTTATTTTCAGTTTAAAATCCTCACAGTCATATTCTGCAAGAAGACTTACACCCTCACAATATATTTCTTTTAAAGTCAAACTGGCCTTTAGACTGGCAAGCCTTGTTAAAGGGCTACAGATTCAAAAGTCATTTCTTATTCTGTTATGGTAACAGTGCCATAAACACTCACAATCGGCAAAGCAACAGCTCTATAAATATGACAGAGTGCAAACCTTGCTTAGATAACCCAGAAAAATGTCACACTTTGGAAGACACCATAGCCTCATTAGGAAGTAAATTTAGGAACACTTTAGACAGAATACACGTATGCAATTTTTGTTCAAATACCAGGGGAATTAATGGAAGACTGGCACATAAATGATTCAGTATTAATCAAATTCACTTTTCCTTGGATGTGCCTCATAATATTGACATTACAGAATACATGTAGTCCTCGATTTATGACCACAATTGAGCCCAAAATTTCAGTTGCTAAACAAAACAGTTGTTAAGTGAGTTTTGCTCCATTTTACGACCTTCCTTGCCACAATTGTTAAGTGAATCACTGCAATTGTTAAGTTAGTGACATGGTTGTTAAGTGAATCTGGTTTCCCCATTGACTTTGCTTGTCAGAGGATGGCAAAGGGACTCTGTCATAAATATGAGTCAGTTGCCAAGCATATGAATTTTGATCAAGTGACCATGGGGATGCTGCAACGGTCATAAGTGTGAAAAATGGTCATAAGTCACTTTTTTCAGTGGTGTTGTAACTTTGAACAGTCACTAAACGAACTCCTGTAAGTCGAGGACTATACCAGCATCCTGAAAAGAAAAATGTTAAATAGGAAGCGCTTACCCCCTGAGGTGAGATTGGTTCCCTCTTCCTGACGTTTCATAAGAGCCTTAAGACCTGGCTCTGCCAGACGGTTTGGGGACCCAATGGAGGAGCTTCTTACTGGAGCTGGTTGACTAATTAAAACTTAATTCCATTTTCCTCCCTGCCCCTCCCGTATGTCTGGCTCTCTCCTTTCCCACCTGGTGTTAATGATTTTATTTCTAATGATTTTCTGTGTTTCATTGATGATTCAAATGTTTTTTTTAATGTCTTTAACGTTTTTTGTCTGTAAGCCATCCAGAGCCATTGACTACAAGATGGCTGTCAAATTAAACAAACAAACAAACAAACAAACAAACAAACGAGCTGTGATGCTTGTAAGGCAAAATAACCATCCAAGCCTCAGTTCTACCAATTTTCTCAGAATTTTACTATCTGAAAGCTTTTTTGGTTCTTGAGGTAATGAAATGATTAAGAGGCTCGTGTTTTTGTTTTTTTTTTGTCCTGAAGTAGGAAGAGAAGGGTCATTGTAAAGAGTAGAAAAGAAAACCCAGGATTGTATAATTTATAAACCAATATGGGATCATTTTTAATACCGCCGTCTTAAATAATATGTTTCTTTTTCCTGACTGTCTTTTCCAGGCCTGATTTCTACCCGCCGTCTTACGAAGACAGCACCGGTGTGGGAAAGCAGACTTTCTCACTGCCAGCCTGCTCACTGGAGCCAAAGAGCTATGCTTATAACATACCTCCACCTTTGTACACAGAAAGCCGCTTCGAATTCATTGAGGAAACTGGTGCTCAGGAACAGCAGCCACCTTCCTATGAAGTCTCTGTGCAGCAACGAGCCACAGGGAACCACCCAAGATAAGGAGAGGCTTCTCACACACCACACAGCCATAGAGCAACTGCTAAGAAGATGGGCTGTCCAAGGACTGGAGAAGTGAAGCCGTACCTTTTATTCTGGGACACAGACAATGTTTAGGCATTGTGTGTAAAGCCTTGAGGAGGAGGTGCGGAAAGGACAGTGCGGTTTCATCACTGGGCACTGTGCACAGATGAGGGAGCATTCAGTGGCTGGCAGTCACTGGGCACTGGGCACAGATGAGGAAACATTCCATGGCATTCAGAAAGGTTGTGTCAGAAATAGTCTTTGTGACCAGGAATAAACCATAGTGTTGCTGGTATTAGGAACGATGATGAATTCAGCCCAACATTGCTGGCTGATGGATGGGGACAACTGGATCTTCTTGAAGATCTTACGTGGTTGTATTCTGCCTCTGTTAAGCAATGCTTGCAATAGCCAGCATTATCTTCTAAATAGCAGCATGTACTGCAAGAGGCAATGAGTAAATGAAGAAACTTAAAGCTTCAACTTAGTGATGAACATAGGAAATATAGGTGTAACAAAGCTAGGTCAGTTACATTAGTTTTCATCAACTCAATGCGTTTCACCTGAGTTTAACTTCAACTCTGTCAGACGTGCACAATCTTTTGGGAAGTGAAGTTCAACACATCAGAAGAGCACCAGACTGGAGAAGGTTATGTTACTGTAAATGTTCTATTCTTGGCATTCATAAAGGAGATGAAAGGCACTTTCCAAAATTAAATTTCTAAGCTCTTTTGGTGCTCTGCAAGCTTTTCTTTGTACCAAGAGATGAATAAGTCCAGTTGAAATGACCAAAGACTAGGACTTGATTTACCAGCTCCTATTCTACAGTTTGAGTTTAAAAAATACCCTTTGATTTAAACTTTTACCATTTCATTGAAATTGAAGTTAAACCGCTTACGTGAGTTGTAGTTCCGTCTTGCTTTGGTTTTTTCCCCATGTTTAAATTATTGTGGTACTATTGTGTAGGAACTGGGATCCTGGAAACTAAGTTACAATGGAGCCCCCAGTCACACAAAAATATTCTCTGGATAAAATAGACTGATTAATGTGTTCTTATTTCAATATTTATTCTTTTTAAAAAGAGTAATTCTATCAGTACTGCAATTAATTATTTTTCGTCATGTACCCCTATTTAACCAACTTCATTACTTCTCATTACTTTTGAGGGAGTCTCTTGGTACAATGTACATAGCCCACTGAAAAAATAGCCAACTCAATGTTAGAGGTTTAGACAATTGCAGTAAGACAATTAGCACTGGAATGTCTTCCATACATATAGAATTTTTAAAATATCTTGGAATTTTAGCATCAGTTCTTTTTGTTATCCATTAGCATTAGAAGCTGAACTCTAATTAATTACCTAATAGTTGACATTTGTTGATTTTAGTAACTTTTTATTGTGTTCTGGGGCTAACCAATTTACACTGTTTAATGCTGCATTGCAATTTTCTTGTAATAAAGTTTTGTAATGAAATACATTTTGCGAAACAATTAGCAATTAATGGCTGGGGAAATAAATGTGTATTTGTTTCCATCATACAAAACAAGAAGGAAGGAAAAGTGTCTTGGTAATCTTTTCTTCTAATTCCTCCATTGCTCCTTTATATTGCATACAATCAAATCTTGAGCTTGTTAACAAGGTTAATCCAGTGGTAGAATTCAAATACCTGAACAACTGGTTTTATTTGCTGCAGGCCTGGGCCTCCGAGGCCTAGAACAGACTTCCGGAAGGGGCATCCATGCACTTCAGGCGGGCTGTTCTAGGCCTGGGAGGCCTCCTCCAGGCCTCCAAGGCCTAGACTGGACTTCTGGAAGCCAGCCGTTCTCCGAATGCAGCAAAATTTAGCTACCGGTTCTACTGAACCGATGCAAACCGGCTAAATTCCACCACTGGGATAACCCGCTATTTTATGCATATCTAGTACTGAATTCACTAGGTTTACCTTAATAAAGACATTTCCCCCATATTTCTGTTAAGTCAGAAAAAGAAATTTCAATTCTCATTTCATGATAAATAAAAGTATCTGCCTATCAAGATGTAAAGGACAAACTTTGGGCAGGGGTGTCAAACTCGCAACGTCACTTGACGCAACATATCGTGACTTTTTTGCCATTGCCGGCAATGGGGTGGGCGCGGTTTCGCTATGATGCTTCTGGCCCAGGGGCCGTCAGTTTGACACCCCTGTTCTAGGGCACTGTCTTATATTTAGGGTAATCCTTATGAGCAAAGCAATTTTGTGAATCTATATTCAATATTAACTTAGATTCTACTTTCATGACAAGTTTAAGATGGTACAGTATTTCTTTTAAAGAAGTGGTTTACCACTTGGAGGTCTTCTAATCCAACCTCCTCTTCAAGCAGCCATTGGACAAATGGCTGTCCAATCTCTTCTTAAAAACCTCCAGTTATGTGAGCGTCCACAACTTCTGAAGGCAAGTTGTTCCACGGATTGTCATTGTCATGAAATTTCTCATTTTTAGGTTGGCTCTCACCTTGATTAGTTTCCGTCCATTGCTTCTTGTCCTGCCTTTAGATGCTTTGAAGAATAGGTTGACACTCCCCCTTCTTTGTGGCAGCCCCTGATGTATTGGAATGCTGCTATCGTGTCACCCTAATCCTTCTTTTCATTAAACTGGACATACCCAATTCTTGCAACCATTGTAGCCACTCCTAATCATCTTTGTTGCTCTCCTCTGAACTCTTTCTAGAGTCTCCACACCTTCTTTATATCGTGGCAACCAAACTTGACTGATGGACAAGGATTGTGATTTTCTTGGCAACAAATTAGAAGCGGTTTTCTTCTGTCTTCTGGATGGTTTTGCAGTTTCACAATCTAGTCTATAGCCTTGAGATTTCCCTGAATGTAAGAAAGTGCTGCCATCTGCTGATATGGAGGTCGTGTGTTTGTAACAAAATAAAAACAAAAGTTAACACATCTCCAATCCTTTTTCATGGATTGGTTCTAATCAGTAAATGACTTCAAAACCTATGACAATTTGTATGCATTTTAATTCAAAAGTTGTATATCATTTATGAAGATCTCTTAAATTGTTCTCAGTTTTTAACTTGCTCCATATATAGTATATTCTCCAGCAAATCTTTATACCTCTTATGAAAGGTCAGCATGAAATAAACCAAACTAGCTACTTGTTGCTGTGGGCAGCCAAAAAATTATATACTGTGTAATGTTATATAAAACAGAACAAAAGTATTTGACTTACAAAAAATCTGTTTAATAATACTGCAATAAAACACTGTGCAAAGATAAATCAGTGCCTCATTTACCTAGACACAGCTTTAAAGAAAAACCTGTTGCATTAGAGCAAGTTGTGTTCCATCAGCGATTTCATGCAAGGCATATATGACACAGCAGTTTATTAAATGTCATAGTAAGTTTTGACACATATCAAAGAATCCAAGTCAGTTACTTAAAACACAGCAGCATTCAAGATTGCACTAAAAAGGAAGGCTTGCCATTGCAATGTTACTAGACTATGAACGTTTCAGATTGCACAAAAGCCACTGTAATGACTAACAGTCATACCTCAGCTTCCCAAGAAGAAAAATATTTGAATTAGTGACATTTAGAAGTTTTATGTCACAATTTTGTGCTATGGATGGAGCTTTGCAGACTTGTTTCTGAGTTTGTAAAACAGGAGTGTCCAACTTTGGCAACTTTTAAGACTTGTGGACTTCAACTCCCAGAATTCCCCAGTCAGCATTTTGGGAGTTGAAGTCCACAAGTCTTAAAGTTGCCAAGGTTGGACACCCCTGTTTTACAAACTCAGAAACGCTTTTCAATATCCTAGCATTCACTGAGCAAGCCTCCTTCCCCTGCCATATTATTCCCTGACTTTTTAGTAAGACATTGGGCAAGCTTTTCATTAACTGAACTAGGCAACTATTTCTAAAACCTCTATTACAGTTCCACGAACAACCTAGATGGTGTTTTAGTTGGGAAACTTTCCCTCTTCAGCTCCATACACTCTCATGCACCCCAAAGCCCTGTCTCTTGATTAAAAGAAAAAACTTGGAAAATGGAATTTTAATTTCTTTGTCCAGAGTTATGCAAAACAGTACATTTTAATTCCAATGCCAGCTGTTTCCACTGTCTTCCTGCTTTCCTTTTTTTTCAGCTTTCTTCTACCATTTGAGGTTTTAAGAGCAGGGGTGTCCAATCTTGGCTACTACGAGACGTGTAGATTTCAACTGTCAGATTTTTCTATCCAGAATGGGGAATTCTGGGTGGCTGGGGAATTCTGGGAATTGAAGTCTACAATTCTTAAAGTTGCCAAGGTTGGGCACCCTTGTTTTAGATATGAAAACCAGGTTTTGTGCTGCTTTAGCTTGAAAAGATCCAAAATTCCACTTGCAAAGTTGAGGAAATTATCTGCTGTAAAAAAGTGATGGGTTTTTTAAAAATGGTTTCCAATGTAATGTTTCAGAGATGTTGATAAGGAATATATAGAAGCAGGAATCTTACACTTCCAACATGACATAACATTTAAATATTTTAATGTTATACGGGGATGGATTCAGTAGCAGAATCCTAATTTGTCGAGTCATATTCACATACAAAAGAATTAAATTCCACTATGTATTTCCAACTATATAAGAGCATACAGTCCTTAAAAGAAAGATTATGCCATCTCTGTCATTAAATGTGATATTCAATTGTCACACATTTGCAATAACCAAACAGCACTTCCAACTTTCTGAATTATGATTATAAATCAGTGCATGACAATGGAACACACCACACAGACCTATTTTCTCCACCTTATCCAAATTAATACGTTTGTGGAGTCCTTGATCCTCTCTGTTTGCTTGCAGACATTTCATTACCCAACTAGATAACATCACCATCACCATCGTCATCAGTGAATGTGGTTTTTCTGCCTGTTCATGCCCTGCCAGGGTTGGAGGGCATGTGGTTTTCTCCTTGGTATTTACTTGATTAGGGTATTGTTTTCTGCTGGATTGTTTGTCTGATGTCAATCCCTGCTTATCTGGGTATTGGCTCTGGGAAAGGAATAGTTTCCTTTTTATTTTTTTTATTGTCTCTTATGAATAGTGTTTTTTTTAAAGAATCAGCTGATCCATCTGTATAAAAGTTGGAACTCTGCTGTGATAACTAGCCCTTTTAAAAAGTGGAACATAAATATATCTTGAAAGGTATTTTTTAAAGATTTTGAATTAAATTAATTTTAATTAAATATTCGTATATGAGAGAACGATAGTGAACATGCAGACGAGTGAGAGGGAAGTAGTCTAAAGATTTACTTCTAAAAACAGAAACTGATAACCAAAGGGGAGGGATCACTGTCAAGCTAGCTGCACAGTAGGAGATAAATCCACAATAGAAATCTTCATCAGCTAATAGCAAAAGGCATTTATCTTAAACTGAAGCTGCATAGAGTTGAATCCGATTAGAAGGTGGATGAAGAAATAAGTAGAAAAAAAGCAGTCCCATTTTTAAACTACAAGCAGAGAGACCACACACACAAACCAGATATGCTGGTGATGGTAGTTAGGAGTAACAGCAGACATGAACAAAACATGAAAGCTGTTTGCCAAACAGATTGCTGCAAGATAATTTCTCATTTTTCCATTTAAATACGTAAGATTTAATACATAAAGTGTGTATAAATGTAGCAGCTGGTGCATAAAATTGTACTCGTTAGTCTTAAAACTTGAGCTGAGAAATTAGGAGTGGCAATTGCCAGCATGCTTTGAAAAAGATAATCGGCTAACTAAAATCTCAGGATAAAGCTGCAGAATTAGGCATATTTATGGAAGATTATATTTTAAGGCACTCAGAGGACCTATTTCCAAATAAACCTGTTGAGCTACATATTTGTAACCTCTAACACAGATTAGAATAGCCCCACCTGCGGATTCTGCTCATGATTCTGCATTTCTTGGATTCAATGGCTATGTTCACACAACACGAACTTATTCATGATTAACTCATAGTTTACTTAATTTTCAAAATTTGCAGAAATTACTGAACCATAAATTAACCACACAGACCAGGGTCACAAAGCCACTAGGTCAAAATGTGATTGGCTAGTTTGTGGTTCATTGTATTACACAAATTCTTTGTCTCAGAAAGGACAAAATTACTGACATTCTAAGTTGTTCCACCCTCTGGGACGTCAACCATCTGAAGAGCGAGCCCTGTATTTTAATTCAAAATCAATCCATCATAACTACCAGATGGGTTTAGAAAATAAGGTAACCCAAGAATAATATTTTATTTTTGAGGTTTTAAAGATGTCCTTGACTATCATAAGAGTGCTTTCTTTTTAAATTATGATGGGAGATTTATAAAACACTATTACCAAAAATCTATGTTTTTCAGCCAGCACTAGCTAAGGCAGGGGTGTCAAACTCGCAATGTCCTGTGACGTTTCTTGACGTATTGTGACTTTTTTGCCATTGCCGGCAATGGGGTGGGTGCGGTTTCGCTATGATGCATCTGGCCTGCAGGCCGGCAGTTTGACACCCCTGAGCTAAGGAAACATGTAGCCTATTTTCGCCTTGCAAATGCAAACACAGGAATCTTTTTTAATCATCTCTTCTGAACACATCTGTTCAGAGAGCCCTGGTTTTGATTATTTGCACCACAAGAAGAGGCTGAAGCTATAATAGACAAGTGCATGTTTTTCTTAACAATGAAATTCAAAATGAATTTTGTCCACCCCCCCCCTCCCCCCAACTGCCCTCAAGCCCTTAGACTAATATAAGGCACAAAAGAACTGGTGTGCTTGAGCAATGCCTTCATTCTTCCTTGTCCTTCCATGGTTGGCCCTGAGTCAGCAATCCTCCTTCAGGTGATGACCGTAGGACCCTTACGACCTGTCCTCTCATGAATCTGAGATATTTTCAGCGCGATGGCGATGAGTGGACTCAGAACTGCCTAGAGAAGAAAACAAATTTGAACATTTAAACCAGTGGTTTATGTATCAAAAAGGAAAAAGTTACTTAATGCCCATCAATATATGTGTATGTTAAGTTGGCCGACTCCACCAATTTGTTTCCATAAATGACCATGTCTTTCAAAATTCATGTTTAAAGTAGAAAAGGAATTGGGTATTAAAAATGCAACAAATAGTACGTGACTAAAACATGCATAATGTTAATAGGAAGGAAGATACCTGACTGATTTGTTCACGTTGAAGATTTTGTCTCCCAGGCTTCACATGGAAGGTAACATACCAAGCTTTGGATAATATTTCAAAATGCCAGCTTGACAACAAAGGGTGTGCGTGTATGTTTAATACTAAAAATGTGATGTTAATTAAGCTAGCAAGGTGGGAGACTAGATATAGGATACTTGACTGCTATTTTTATATGTATTATGTATTTTATGTATTTTATCTATTTTATTGTAGATCACCCAGAGACATCTAAGTCAGATGGGAGGCTATATAAGTCAAATAAATAATAATTTAAATTTAAATAACTTATTTAATTAAACTACACAACATTTGCCTATCCCAGGGCCTCAGGAAAGACTCGACAGGGGAACAAAAATGCCAAATCCAATCTAAATATGAGACCAACTATAATAATAATAGTAATTTGCATTTACTTGGAATCGGATGCTAAAAGTATGCCTTTATTTGTGTAAAGATAGGACACCTTAATTTTTTTTCGGTGAAAAAAAATGGATATTTTCAGGAACAAAGTAGAAATGTTGAATTGATTTTAACAATTAGCATTATTTACAAATTGAAAATCATTTTATTTATTTATGAGTTGATATGTTCAGCAACTGCTGGTCAAGAAAAGGTTGGAACAAATGTTATCTTTGCCGTAGCCCCACCTACTGATCCAGGAGAGACTCCATATTTGTATTTACTCCTTCAAAGAAGTACAGGAATCAAGAGCAATTTAAGGTGCTTCCTTGGCATCTGAAAGCCTCTGTAGAAAAATAAATCTGTCTTGCTAGGCTACAGTCTGTTCTGCCCCCACCCACTCTTTCATAGATCCAGGCACTGAGTCAAGACTTCCACTATATCTCCATGGACCTTGGACGAGAGATAGGTCACTGGTTATCATCAGCATATTAATTTTTTGGGGGGTGCCTTGGAGTCAGTGTTGACTCTTGGCAATAGCATGACAACTCCTACAATTTTTTTGGCAAGATTTCAGAAGTGATTTGCCATTGCTTCCTTTCAAGGGCTGAGAAAAAGAAAGTGATTGGCGCAGAATCACCCAGTTGAGTTCATACTTCACCTCAAACCCAGGGTTGTAAATGTAGATGTTAAAAAAAACTGAAATGTCCAAAGGGTCAAATTGTCCCATGAATACCTCATTTAAAAAGTTCTGCCTACCCTGAAAAAGACGTTTTAAAAAAAAAGTTCCATGTTTGGAAAAAATATGGTTTGTTTCTATAAATTATTTAATGAAATATTATTTTCAAGCATTAACCTGGAAGCTTTTATGACTTTGTAAACCTTACTGTGGATGGGAAACTGATATAACAGAGGAAGAGTGTACTTAATGTCTAATGTCAAATGTAATATTTCATTCATATCCATTAATTAAAAAAAACAACCCAAAATCAATACTGTACTAACACCAACTCTAACCCAACAAATAAATTCTATATCACATAGTGATTTTAGAAACATCCCTCTTAAACAGAAAACTCAGAAAGATTTTTGGCTGAAATCACATTAGCTGATCATAAATAAGAAAGGAACCACTTATATTTGCCTAAATACTGCTCCGTAATACAGTGCATTATGAAAACAGGAACTTGTTTAATTTATTACATTTTTAATAGTATGTGATTCAAGTGGTTCCAAGATCTGTTTCACAAAACAGTGACATCATTTTAAGGGTGGAGGACGTGTTGCATTAATATATATCTGAAATGTTATTGTCTTCTGCTTCCAGCAAAACTCGACATATCTTTTTTCTGAAAAATGAAAACAATCTTCTAAAAAAAGATATATGATGCGCTGAAAAGAAATATCTATTTATCTTTCTTTACAACTTGCTTTCCCCCCAGTACTCTTATACCTGTAATGTAATATTACAAATACAATGGGCTTTCTAAGGCACTACAAGGCTAAGGACAGGTAATCTTTCTTCTAAGGGATGAAATGGGAATTTGGTACTATAAAAATCCAGAAATAGAGTAGCTAGTTATACATCCATTAGAGAAAAATAATAATACTGAGCATGAATGGGGTTGGTCTTTCAACTTTTGAGGAATTGTTGAGGATTCTGTCTTAAAATGTCTGCTTAGTCTCTAAACATCCTCTTCATGCAAGGAAGAAGGGGAAAAGTGGTAATATATAAGTAGATGGATAGATAAGATAGATGATAAATGATAGATAGATAGAGATAGATAGATAGATAGATAGATAGATAGAGATAGATAGATAGATATAGAGAAAGAAGAAACTACAAGGCAAAAACATGACTATAACGCAAAATATAAACTCAGTTTTTTGCTTTTATAAAGTACTTGTTTAATTGAAATCAGTTAATTTTTCTCTAAAAATACTTTTCTTCAATTGAATCACCTGTGCAAATCCTGTCTTCAATATATTTCTGTTCAGTTCACTAATTTCTCTTCTGCTAACCATCTCATTCTCTAATCTCTACCAATCAACACAGGGCCATCTCTCCCTTTATGCCAGCCATTTCATTCATGCTTCACCTGCTCTATCCAGTCACCCCACTCTTCCCTTCTCTCCTCAATAATTTACTCAGCACTTTAGAAAAACAAAACTGCTATCAAATTTTACATTTTTGGCGGGTGTTTCAGGTCTGAACAATGCACAATTAGTGTACCATCAAAGCTCACACCCTCCAGAGCATACAAAAACTCAAAGAAATAATGCAAGATAGGTAGATGTAGAGAGACCTGGCCCATAAAAGAGTTATGTTCAATGTTCAATGGACAACATTGAATGGATAATATCATCATGAACAGTTACTGTAATGTAAAATAGGGCCCTCTCCTGCATTCATGGAGGTTTCTAGCTAAGATGTGGCAGGAGGACAGGCACTGCCAGAGAGCATTTCGTTAAAAAAGAGCCATAGTTTTTTCTTCTTTTATTTCAGAGGACACCTGGATTTGTGCTGTACTTCACTTCACATCCAATTGTACTTTGTAATATGCATTATCAAACAATGCATTCTCTGTGCACCATTCTGAAAATTCACAGGATGTAAATGGAAAACAAAACACTTGTTAGACTGTGTATGTGAAATGGTACTATTTGTGAATTGAGAGGATTCTTGCTAGGTAGATCACAAGGATCCACTTAAGGCAATGGGACTTTACTTCGAAGTACGTAATTGCCCCTGCTTCCTTGTTAAGGGGCAAAATAGCAGGGATCCATGTGTTTCATTAATGTTTGAGTAGCTTATGGGACATTCCAAAGAATATAACCAAAGGTGCTGTCACTATTTATCAAATACCTTATTTTTTTAAATCATGCAAATTATATCACCTCTATTGAGGTTTGAGTCCATATCTGTTTTTTCCAAAACAATCTTTTCCCAACTGAGTTCTCCAAATGTGTTCAATGCCTTTCATCACTAGCTGGCACAGCTGATTGTTACAGTATTTGTTTTTAAAAAAGAGAACACTTTCTTTGTTTTAGATTGTGCATACAGTTACATTGTACAAAACACCGACAGGTGAGTGACACTATTCTGTGTAAGAGGAAATGGAAATGCCTTCCGGTTGCTAAGGGGTGTGTTTTAAAAAAATCAAGATGGCAGCCACGATCCTGTAATTGAAAGTCTATTTGGTTTTAAGCATGCTGCATATATCACAAGGAAGTGGATTTTGATTGTACTATCATAGCTACCATCTTAACTTTTTTTCCCAACACTGCTCTTTTCATTGTTCTTCCGATCCAAATAACAATTTTTCATAAGCCGCCAACTTTTCAATAGCAAAATTGCTTTCTGGGAAAATATTATTCAGGAACAGTCTGCTAAGCCAGTTTTAAATTCTATTATCTGACTCTTTCTGCGTAAAGTAAGAATAAACATATTTATAGTAATTTTATTAAACATTACAGTTACAAAGATAAAACTAATAGAAACTAAGAAACCCTAAAATAATAAAAAGAAATGATAGCAGGTGCAGGGAAAAGAAAAAAGAAAAGAATAAGAACATAGTAAAGGAAAAGAAAAGAAATATATAAAGAAATGATTTCCCCTTTCCTCAGAACAAGTATAAACAATTTGCTAACTTATCACCCTCTCTTAAAGTACAACAAATTACCTCTATTTGCCTTGTCTCATCTCTTATCTATAAACAAAGGACAGGAATATATGATACAGTTAGTAAATAGATAATCCAGTCAAGTACAATAAATTATATCTAAAATTAGTTCCGCTATTGATTCAAAATGTGCAATAATTATTTTATTATTCTGTTCACCTTTTCATCTGCAGCTAGTTGGGAACATGATATAAATGAATTTAGTACAGTCATAGTTTCAATTGATAAAGAAATAAAATCAAATTATAAGAGTACATAGAAGTCCAAGGTTCTATTTATTATAACTAATAAAAGGCAGGCAAAGGTTATGGCTTTTGAATAATACTAAGACAAACAGGGGCACTTTTTCAATTAATTATCAATAATGATGCACATGATTTCCAGTTCTGTAGTATTCAAACTGCTTGCTATTCCAGTTATAAAGTGAAATAAACATTTTGTTCACAAAATTACAGTTGGTGATAAGCAGGTATTTGGTCTGGTATCCCAGCGGCTTCCATAGTAGCCAATGTTTTACTTTGTTTCATTGGTATGTTAAAACAATGATTCCTGATTTGAGGAAACTTGTTCCACCCAACTCATATATCAGTGATGGCAAAACTTTTAGAGACCGAGTGCCTAAACTGCAACCCAAAACCACTTATGCATCATCGGGT